GAACTCTAACATTCCCCTGGCAAAATACCAGGTGTTATTTTGACTTGTTTACAGACCTTAACACAGCCACTCTTGTTTGGCATATCTCTTGTGCAAGTGGCAAGTTCTTTCAGCTTGTGTTTATGTCATACTCTCTTTTTATCCCTTTCATTTTTGAAGGATAGCTTTGCTAGATAGAGAATTCCTAGCTGAGGACATCTTTCTCCAAGCACTTCCAGATCTTCTCCCATTGCCTGCTGGTCTCTGTTACTTCCAATGAGAAATCGGCTGCTACTCTTCTTGGGTTTCCCCTGTAATTGAGAAGCTATCCTTCCTGCTGCCCTCAAGACGGTCTCTTTCTCTTTAGTTTTTTTTTTTTTTTTTTTGGCATACTTGCTGTGCCACATCCATTTGTGGAACTCAGTATATTTCTACCTAGCATCCATGGGGCCTCCTGCATGTGCACATGAATGCTGTTCCTTAGAATGGAAATCTTCCACTACTGTCTCTGAAGATTTTAACTCCTCTCTGTTCTCCTGGTGCTTCCATTTTATGTATGCTGTCCATGCTTAGTGGTGTCCTACACCTCTCCACTCACCCTCTGTAACCTCTTTTTACTGTCTCCATTGTGTTGCCTTTTCCAGATTGCATATATTTGTGTGTGTGTGTGTGTGTGTGTGTGTGTGTGTGTGTGTGTATGTTTCTCAGACTGGTTCTGTTCACTTAGTAATATGGATTTAAGGTTCCCTCCATGCACATTTTTTTTTAGTGATGAATAATATTCTATCATGGTTAGAGAACATACTTCATGTTATTTCTATCTTTTTCTCTCCCAGGGAATGTTTCATATGCTCTTGAGAAGAACCTATATTCTGCTGGTGTTCAGCAAAGTGTCCTATAAATTGTTAGACTTAGTTGGTTTGCAGTGTTGCTTTTCTGTTTCCATGAAGTTTATCCATTCACCTGTGGAAGGTGCTTTGTTATCCGATGTTTGACAATTGTGACCGAGAGTTCTGCAAATATTCCTGTGCTGGGGTCTTAAGAGATGTCAGTGTTCAGCTCATTGGGGTAAAACCTGGGATTGTGATTATTGGATTGTTTGGAAGAACTATGTTTAGTTCTGCTGGAATCTGCCACACTGTCCCCAGAGTGGCTGCACCGTGTTGCACTGCACCGCAATAAACCAGAGGGAGCCTCTGGTGCTCCACAGGCTCCTTGGCGTTTAACAGCATCAGTGGTTTAAATTCTAGCGGTGGCACTATGAGTGTGGCTGTACCTCTCGAGTGTTTTAGTTTGCATTTCTCTAATGACATATTTGAGCATCTTTTCATACACTACTTTCCATCTATGTCTTTGTTGGTAGGTCGTTCAGATGTTTTGCTCATTTTTAAACTTATTGTAGGCTTTAACAAGCTGTGTATATTTTTATACCAGTCCTTTATCAGATATGTTTCTTGCAATCATTTCCCTGGTCTGTGGCTATTCCTTTCATTGTTTCGCAGAACAGACAAGATCCCGACGTGGCCCATTGCGGTAGGGCCAAGGCAGGAGGCCTGCGCTGTGCCGGCGGAGGGCGTTGGGTCTGAAGACCGGCCGCTTGCCTGGCGCACCTCGCGAGCCTGGCGGCCTCACACAGGGCAGCCGCTAACGGGTAGGCGACCCAGATTCCGCCACCAGGAGGCGCTGAAGGAGCCCCGTGGTGGCTGCGACTGGGCGAGTTCTTTCCGCCAGCGCCTGGCACCTGCTGGCGACCGCTAAAGGAGGGGCGCGCGGACGCTGATGTGCAAATTCGACTGCTCGGGTGCCACCCGGGCAGGTCTGCAGTCGTGTTCCCGCGTTAATTGCGGGACTCGGAGAGCGCTCCCAGCTGGGACCCTGGGAACTGCAGGCGACAGACCCGCGCCGACCCGGAGTCGACCCTCCAGGCGCCGCAGTCAGATCCCACAAGTCGGCGCAGCTCCAGCTCCGCCTGCTCGGTGGGCCGGGCCCCGCGGTCCCCGGCCCGCGCCAGGCGTAGGTGCGGACATCCACGCAGCTTCCAGCGCCGCGGAACAGCGCGTCCCTCGTTCCCGCCATGCGCCCCGCGGGGGGCGCCGAGCTCCGAGCCGCTCGCGCTTCCCTCGTGCCCAGGTCCCAACCGTCACCCGGACCTTGGACGCTCGGACTCGGGCCGATTCCGCGGCCGTCGCGAACATGGCCGGCTGAAGCTGTCCTCCAGGCCGTCGACCGCGCCCACCGCTCCCATGGGCAGCTTCCTGGGCAGGCCGGGTCCCTCGGCGTCCCCGGCCCGGGCGCGCGCGGATTCGCCAGAGAGGCCTCGGATCCGCGGGCCGGCTCCGCCGCTCTGCCACGTCCAGCGGGTCCAGTACATCCATCGCGCCCATCCCGCCCCACGGCGCAGGCCCTCGAAGAGGCCGCCGAACTGGGACCCTGCCCATCCGGCGAGGGTGGTCAACGAGGCGTGGAGGCGCTTTCCCATGAACAGGTTCCAGAATTCCGTCGTGGGGCCGCTGCCCTCAGATTGGTGGGAGAGCTACCTCAAGCGGACCATTTGGTCGCTGCGGCACCCGCGGGCGGTGTGGAGCCCCGTGACGGTCAAGATCGCTTCTCCCGAGCAGAGGGCGCCCCCCTCCGTGGCCTCGGCAGGCGTGATTGCCTCCGCGGGGCCCTCGGAGGAGCCGCCAGACCCGTGCGCCAAGGAGACGGTGCTGAGGGCGCTCCGGCAGAGCCGGCGAGGGGGCGCCAGGGTGCGGGAGCCGCCGCTCCCCGAGAGCTCCGACCCCGAGCGGACTCGCGAGAGCCGGCCCTCCGCCTTCAAGCCGCTGGCGAAACACCGGGCCGGCGCCGGTTTCGTGCCCAGGCCTGGGCCTCTGAAAGGGAGCGGCCACTCGTGGAGCTCCGGTCACAGCTTGAAGAGGCTCGGTTGCTCCTCCGAGAGCTCCTCTGCTGGAAGACGCTCAGCAGGCCCCCTGTGCGCCAAAAGAAACGCCATAAGCAGTTCTTACAGTTCTTCCAGAGATTCCGCAGAGCCGTGGAAGAGAAGTTTTTCCAGCACATCAATCCAGACACCAGAGTGGCCCGTGAAAAGGAAGCAGAGAGGTCCCCAGTCTCTGCCTCCAGTCCCAGCCGTGTCAGACACTGGAGCCCCTGGAGCCCCTGACGGTTGTGGGCAGCGCATTCTGAAGGTTCCAATGCTGCCATCTCACCCCGGGAACCTGCTGTCTACCAGCCCAGCTCCCCAGGTCCTCGTCACTGTCCCACGTGTGAGCTCTGCCTCTGGGGAGGCCCTGACCTCGGGGAAGGAAACTGAGCGGCCATGGAGTGACCAAACCAGAGAGAACACAGGCCAGGCCTGGGCTGGCCAACCTCCCCTGCCTCTCACTGGGCCTCCTTCAGGCACAGCAGCTGCCACCGGCACAATTCCTCAGCTGGAAATCTTGAAGACGCAGAAGTCTCCAGGTCCACTGGCCTCCCCCGGGTCTACTGGAGAGGCAACCAGTGTGGTGCAGTGCTCTCAGAAGACACCTAACCTGCCGACCCCAGCTGAACACTCACGCTCAGAGCCCCCGGCAGAGACCTCTTCAGAGGCAAAGCCCACAGCTACTCTCATCCAGCTGAGCCCAGCCTCTCCCACACCACCAGCCACTGACACCGCTGGGCTTCCTTCAACCCCCCAGGCTGACAGGTCTGCCACGCCCCCAGGTCCTCCTGTGGTTACCCCTGCCGCACCCACCCTGCAAAGCTCAAGATTTGGGGTGATGAGCACCTCCACTCCCCGCCCTTCCCCCACCCCTCCTGCTGTAGCTTCGGTTTGCCCCATTTTAAGACCTACTCTGGGGCCCCTGCACAGTACTGAGATGGCAGGCTCCTTAAATCCCAGAATCCCAGTCACACCTGTAGCACCTGCAAGCTCTTCCTTCCCCCCCACTCCAGGTGTCTTCCCACCCACCTTCCAGCCCGTCTTTGGTAGCACAGGACCACTTAAAACTATGCCAGTGCAGGCTCCTTCCCCCGGCAAGCAGCCCTCCCCTCCATGTGCTCCTGCTTCCTCTCCTCTGCCCCATGGCCTGGCCGGGGCCACCCCTGTGGTCAGCACATCCAGAGACCCAGCCTTCAAGCCACCTTTGGATCTTGGCATCACAGGAGACACTTCCTCTGTCCTCACCTCCTGTAGCACTTTCATGCTTGGGGCAGCCCAGACCTTCAGGGCGAGTTTGCCCCCAGGCCCGGGCTTCATTTTTTCGCCACACCAGCACCCGGTCATCCCCACTGTACAGACAGTCACTGTCTTCAGCCACGTCTTCCCTAGTGTGATCCAGATACTCCCATGCAGGGGCACCGATGGTCTTCGGGATGTGTCAGCCCCCGCCCTGTTACCTGCCAGCCAGGCTGCATTGTCACCCTGCGTCTCCAACCTGACCCCAGCACTCACAGTTCCCATGGGGTCAAGCTCGAGGCCACCCGTCCCAGTATTCCCAGGAGTCACTCCCCAGCCTGCACCTGGGGCCACTGGTGGGCAGATGCAAGGCTTCCCCCCGCCAGTGCTTGCCCCACTCTTGGGTAACTCATTACTTTTTGGGAACTCAGCAGTGGCATCCCCAACTCCAGTGCCAACTTCAGCTCAGACAGCCTTTGGGGGTGTGATGCCTGCAGCCCCCACCCTCCACACGCCTGCCGGCATGCAGCCAGGCCTGGGCAGCACCCGTGATGGCCTCCCCTCGGGTCCAGGCAGTCCAGCTGGCTCTGGAGTTGCCACTCACAGCCATGTGCGTGGGGCTCGAGGCTCGGTGTTTGGCAGCACAGCACCTCGGCCTTTTGCCTTTGGGGGACTGGTGACCCCTATGGACTGTGGGGAGCCTGGGGTCCTCATCACTGTCCCAAGTGTGAGCTCTGCCTCTGGGACTTCCAGTGCTGATGCAGGGCTCAGTGGGATCACCAGCCCTGTGACGCCCTTTGGAGAAGGCTGGAGCCTTCCCCGCCAAAACACACCTTTGTTCTTGGGAAAGGCCAGCTTCTCTGCAAAAAAGATGATGTCTTTTGCTCACAGCACCCCTATTCCTGGGCCAGTTAAGGTAGGCAGCCGTCTTGGCCTTGGGCTGTCCCCTCCACATTTTCAGGACTCTGCTTTTAAATCATCAGCTCCTACCTTTTCCATTGGTACAAAATCAAAAACCCCAAGGAATCGGGAGCAAGGGCATTCCCGAAGGCATCATGCCCACAAGAAATAGTTCACTTTCCTCTTACCTGTACCCTGGTTTAGACCTCAGTGTTTCCATGAAGAGCTTTGGTCTCTACAAATTCACTAAGTCAGACATACCCCAGATCTAGAGTAAGCTTTGTATGCTCACCCCGGGGTCCTAAATATACCTAAATATACCTCGAAGAAGGTAGAGGACCAGGCACCATCCAGTGGTGACAGCAGATGACAGAACTAGACCCCCTGGGCTTAGACAGAGCTTTACCCCTTTCCCCCCAACACTCCCTGCCCTGCTCCTCTGTGTCAGTTGTGAGTTCCGTCAGAGCTGCCTCCTGCTGTGTCCCAGGAACAGCCAGGGCAGTGAGGCCAGCTGCAGACTAGGTGCTCCTGCTTTTGGGGAGGAGGAAGAGACTCTCCCTCAATCTGAGCCTTTTATTTGGCTCTGATAAATGGCTCCCCTCTTTGGCCCCTTAGGGATGCAGATTTCTCATTTCTTGCTGTTCTGTTCCTCAGTGGGTTCTTGGAGAAGTTTTCGGTGTAATTTGACCTTGAATCCAGCTTCTCCGTGAGGATCAGTGGTTGACCCTCAGGGAACTCTGTGTGCTGCTGCTGTTGTGCTACTTCCCCAACAAGCTGCCAGTCTTTTCCTGAGAGGCGATAGTCCAGCCCCATCCTCCTCCTGCCAATTGAATCTACAAAGTGAAGACTGTTGTGTGAGACCCCAGAGGTTACTCCTCACTCCAAGAAAAGGAGGCCTTTGGCCAGTGGCCTTCCAGGTTTGCACCCAGCAGGAGCGCCTTCCTGGATGCAGGTCTCCACTTGCCACCTTCTCCCCGGCACCCTCCCGTGCATACACATGAGACCTGCTCTCTTGTCCAACGCTGGTGTCTGCTGTGTGCTTCCGACTGCGTGTGGGGCAGGGCGGCTCCTAGGAGTGGTGCCACTGGTGGGGTCTGGCTAAGGGATGGGCAGGCACACTTCTTCATGCTACAAGAGCTGGTTCCTGAACGTACAACAGCGCGTGACTCTAAGGGACAGCCTCTCGGGAAATCAGAGGGCCAGGAGGGAGGAACACTGGCCATTCCTCCAGCACCAGCCAGAAATGCACAAGCAGGGAACAGAGCTTTTGTCTTTTTATTCCTGCCTCATCTCCTCCCTGTTCAGGGCCTGTGCGGGGAGGGCAGGTGGAGCAGAAAGCCCTGGGGCCTGAGAACAGAGTGAGAAGGGCGAAAGGGCAGGTGCCCGAGGCCACCCCAGGGCAGCGCCTGTGGGAGGGGGTGGGTGAGCACTTACCATCCTGAGAAGAGGCTAAAATGGCTTCCTGAGTACATGGGCCACCCATCTCCTGCTGATGGGGACTGTGACGGAGGTCTAATTGGAAGAACAATATTAAGTTAGATGACAAAATAAAATTGTTGAAATAAATCTGTGATACAGGAATTTCTGTCCATCCGATTTGGATATGGATATGGAGGCAGAGTGAGGTCTGGACACCTACCTGACTCGGCCCAGTGAAGGCCAGTTTGGGGATTTAAACGCTGATGACTGGAGTGTACTCATTCCTCCAGAGCAGATTGCGGGAGTTAGAATTCTAAGCCAGGCCGGTCTGCTATGAACACCCACTTCCGCAGTCACTGCCCACCCAAACTTGCAACCTTACAGAGGGCCAGGGAGAACACATGGACGCTGCCCATGCTGTGTACCTGTGATTCGACGTGTCCTCGGCCCCATTTGCACTGACCTTTGGGAGCAACAGACGGCTCCTATGTCGGAGGGTTACACCTTAGTGTGGGATCCTTGTGTAAGCCATAAGCCCGTGATCCTGAAAATAACAAGGAGTGCCCAGGGCAAGGGGAAGGACCCTCTCAGCTAAGACTTGAGTTGTGTCTCACCAAGGGGACAAGGTGAGGAAGGCAGGACGAATTGGGACAACTTCTGGAAGCTGGCTGTAGCAGAGATGAGCAGGAGCAGGTCACAGCGAGCTGATAAACTGTGTGTGGAATCGATGTGTCCTGAGTCACCAGCATGGAAGGCCTGCAGGCCTGGAGGACACAGCAGTAACAGTGTGAGTTCCGCCGGTGGCCAGCATGGCAGTGAGCCCAGCCAGCATGGCAGTGAGCCCGGTAGTCAGCGCTGGCACGCGGAGGAGCAGGAAGAGAACAGACTAAGGAGCAGGACTTGGGGAATCCTTGAGGATCTGACCTGGGTTTCTCCTGGGACTTAGAACATGGCTGTTTCTGTCCCAGTTCCTGCTGCTCTGTGCCTTGCAGCCAGCCCTGTGGGCAGTGCAGAGGACACTTCAATTAGCTCTGTGTTTTTCCAGCTGTTTACTTGCCCTTCTCTCTTCCAACCCCTGGGCTGTTCTGGGTGCCTTTGCTGATCACAGGGACTTAACAGTTAAAAGCAGCATTGTCTTTTCCTGGGTGTGCCTCCCAAGACCTGAAGACCCAGGGGTGGCAGGAAAGGATCGGGACAGAACTTTTAGGAACGTGTGAGTTTGGGGGCAAGGGACTTTGGAAAGTCAGAGTCACCTGCAGTGCAGGGAGGAGAGATGGAGTCCAGTAGTGAGGAGGTGGAGACCCCAGGAGTGTGGAAATTGGGGCTGAAGGGGCCCAAGGCAGTCTGGGAATCCTGGCAGTCAGTGCAGTAGGAAACAGGCGGATCCAGGTATCTTCAGGGAGCGGGGAAGGTTTGTCATGCAACATGGAACCCTGAAAGGACAGGTTTGGTTTCATGCAGATCATAAACCCAACCCCTGGGGAATTTTAATTTCCTTAACTTCTAAAAATAGAAATTGAATTGAAATCTTGAAAATGAAGTATTTCTTGTTAAATGAGGTGTTAGGCTATTTGACCTTCAGGAAAAGGTGTCTGTTTGGAGGGTGGATCTGGATGGGGGTGAGTCTCTTCTGCAGCTGACCCTGAAGCCCTGTGCCCACCTGTTATCTTCCCACTGGAGGAGATACTGAGGTGCTGGGTGTCGGGAAATGAACCGGGAAAGAGTCACATAAAAGGCTGTGCCTCTTACCACTTCCACTGACAAACCCCTGAAGGAAAGAGGGGGTGTTCGCCCTGTTTGCACACGGACAGGTGAGCCTGACGTGTCTGCTCCTGTCAGCTCCCACGTTGTCCTGGCAACCTGTTCATGAGAGTGTCTGTGTTTCCCAGGAGAAAGACACTTCCCCCGTTGTCCTGTTTCCTCTTCTGCCCTTGCCAGACTACACTTACCCTCCACATTTCTGCCAACAATCATTCGGAGCAATCTAGGCTTTTTTGCCTAGATTGGCTGGGGCTTCTAGTATGCTGAAGAGCCCTGGGGAGAGGGAGTCCTTGGTCCTGATATCGGGAGGAAGACTTCCATATTTTTACAGCTGACTGTGATGAATGGTAAGTCTGACTGTGGGTTTTCCATAAATGTCCTTATTCAGGTTGAGAAAGTTCCTTTCTATCCCTAGCATTCTAAGTGGTTTATTTTTTATTTATGAAAGAGTGCTTGATTTTATAAAATGCTTTTCTGTGTCAATTTTCTGGGTTTTTCTTCTTTCTGTTAATGTGATTGGCTAAATTTTTCACGTTGAAGCACCTATATTCCTGAGTTAAATTTCGCTTGTCATGATAGATGATTTTTTTTTTGGTTCATTAATAGTTTCCTGTGGGTTTTTGCATCTTATATACATAAGGCATGTTTGTCTGAATCATTTCTAGCTTTGATTCCAGGGTACTACGATTCTCAGAAATGAGCCAGAGGCTGTTCCCTTCATGTCTACTCTTCAGAGGACTGTTTGTTTGTTTGTTTGTTTGTTTGTTTTAGTACTGGGGGTTGAACCCAGGGGTGCTTTGCCATTTAGCTATAGCCCCATCCCTTTTTATTTTTAGACAGGGTCTTGCTAAGTTACAGAGGCTGGTCTTAAACTTCCATTTTCCTGCCTCAGCCTCCTGAGTGGTTGGGATTACAGGTATGCACCACTACACCCTAAGTACTGGTCTTAAATCTTCTTTTGAAATTTGGTAGGATTCACTGGTGAAGCCCTCTGGTCCTGGAATCTGTCAGGAGGCCTTGGCTCACTGATTCCATCTTTTTACTTGCTACAGATTTCTTCTGATTTTCTCTTTCTTGAGTCAGTTTCAGTAATTTGTGTGTTTCTAGAAATCAGTCCAGTTTATCTAGGTTATCTAATTTGTTGGCATACAGTTTGTTCAATATTATTTTACATTCCATTTTCTTTAGTAAGCTTAATAGTGATGTTCCAACTCTTATTTCTGAATCTTGTTATTTTCTTCTTTTTCTCCTTAATTGATCTAGTAAAGTCAAAGAACAAATTTTTGGTTTTCTTATGCATTTGCTTTTCCATTCTCTGTTTTACTTAGCTCAAACTTTTCTGTTTCCTTCCTTCTGCTGAGTTGGAGTTTAGTTTGCTCCTCTCCAGGCTGGAACCTTTCTTCTTATCATTTGGATTTGAAGAAATAAGGACTCCCTTTCCCCACACTTGAATCTCCCTGGTGAATCCTGGACTGCTCTTCTCCGTGTAAGAGTTTCTGATCAATTTGTGTCACCTTTTAAGAATGCAGCTGGTAAATACAATTCAAAAAGCACCCTCCAGTCCGGATTGTCACAAACAGCAAGGTAACCGTTGGCCCCTGCAGGTCACACCCCAGCCTTAGCACTCGGAAGTCTAGGTCAAGCCCGGATTGGGTGTAAAGGAGCTTCTGCTCAAGAGGAATAGTCTAACGGAGTCGGACGTGTCCGGCAGGTGTCCCGTCTGGTTTTAAAGCAGCCTAGACGGCACAGTAAGAAACACAAGTGCGTTCGTGGTAGGCAGGAAGCAGGTCCCCACCAAGGACCTCCCTTTAGGGCTCGTTTCGCTACCTTCTTAAGGGAAGCATCTTACCTTGGCGAGGCTCCCCACTCCCAGGGTCAGGGCTAGGGACACCTCGGCGAGGAGCCAGAGGCTGTGGAGTGGACACTCCTCAGTGCCGTCTCCTCGCCCCAGCTCGCCCCAGTGGACACACGACCCGACTCGGTAGGTCCGCGCGACCCGCTTCCGCGCAGCAGCCCTGGCCGGGCGCCGGGCTGCGCCTCCACCCGCCGCTGGCCCTGTCCCCGCTGCCCACGCGACGTCGAGGTCGGGGCGCGCGCGCGGCAGGCAGGGCAGTGGCGCTTTTGCTCGCCACGACGCCCTTGACTTTAGTGACTGGGAAGCTGGTTCTTGGTAGTTGAGTAGGGGTCCATCGTGAACCGGCCGCAGTGTGGGGGTGAGGAGGCACAGCTGGGGTGGCGTGAGCTCCCGCGCGGCGGGGCACCGACGGGGGTCCCGCTAGGACACCGGCGGGAGAAGCTGGTGCCTCCACACTCGCCCTCTGCCAGACGGGTCGCCCCTGCCCTCTGGGGAAGAAGTAGACGTTGTTTCCCCACCTTTTCTTGCAGTGCCGGCCCTTGTCACTCATGTCAAAAGAAAGGCCGACGGCTCCCTTCGCACTGCGGAGCAGCAGACGGACTCACCGCCGAAGAGAATGCGCGCTGATCCTCAGTCGGTCGTAGTTTTGTGTTTTCTTCACATTCAAAAGAAAAACACTTTTTACTTGTGCACAACAACGTCTGTGTGACATTTTTACTTGGTAAACGCCTCACTGCCACTCCTTTATTCCAGTCTGTGCATTTGTGAAACTTGGATCAGATCAATGGGACTGCCTGGTAAGCCTGTCGCCTCAGCACTCCTGGGTACTGTTTTTATCTCCACGTAGGTGCACTACGTCGCTGTGGACTTTATGGGGGAAAACGGAGGCAAAAATTAAATATGAAGTGGTAGAAGACGGGAAGCGTTGACCTTTTTAAAGTTTACTTGTCTGGATTCCAAGGGGAGACATAAAATGAGAGAAGAAAGGAAGTTGTAGTCAGATTTTTGTGAAACAAAATTTTAAGAAAAAATTAGAGCTCTCTGCAGTGAGTCCTTAACAGTCAGAAGATATGAATTCTTCTAAACAACACGAACCCAGAATTTATAGGAAACCATACACACACATACACACACACACACACACACACACACACACAGAGAGAACTGAAATGGAAAGATGGAAATAAAGCCATGAGGGGAAGGTGCTTTTCCCTTTCCTTGGCAGCTTTGAAGACGCTCTTATCTGGAGGTATCCCAGACCGACAGCTGGTCAGTGGCCCCCTCAAGCACTGTGACTAGATGTGAATGTCCAGCTGTGGAGACTGGCCGCACACCTGCAGTGCCCAGTGGAGGACCTGGAGCAGAATGAACCAGGAAGAAAAGCTGTCTGTCAACCATATGCAGCAACATCCAGGGGACTGTTTCAAGGGGGGAAGCAAAGTACAACAGAGCACATGTGGATCTCACCTTGCTGTGTACAAGAAGGAGTGAAGCAGAAGATACGCATACCCAGGACTCGTCAGAAAGAAAC